AGAGGGGACCATCGGTGCACGCATCATTATGTTCACTATCAAAAGTAAAAGAAGTGTAGGGTTAGACGATTAGAATAACACATCAATATCTCACATTCATTGTATCCTTCTATTCTAACAAAAAATAGACCCGTAAAGAAGTTTTATAATCTCCAGAAATGGATTTTGCTCTAGAACCTACTTCCAAGGATGTATAAAATGCAATGTCTTGATTGGAATCTTGAATAACTATTCCAGAATGAAAAAGTCCTTCCAAAAATTGATCCGGTCAATTATCGCGCATGTGTAATAAAATAGTTCAATCATTAGGATTCTAAAACAACGGATGCGCACATTGAAGTTCACCAAATCGCCCAAAATTCTCACATCCATGTCTCATCTACAATTTTTATATTGAATCGGTCTGGTTAAATGGGGTAGATTTTAACTAGCTAATAAGGATCTGGTTACTAGGGTTGTCCGAGTTTAAATCATGGCAGCAGATTCGTAAATGAAAGAGCGTATAAGCAGTATTGAATATTGCTGTTACAAGGTTAAAGGGACGTTAAACCATCTGTAGCGTTGATTAGTGTCAAACATCGCATTGTGTAAGAAAAAAAGGTAAGCTTCGGAGAAAAAGATATGATACCCTTCTCCGAAGTTCATTGGGCATTCCCCCAGGTCAACTTAGTGTAATTTCCAAGCTATACAGCCGCAGAATTATTTTCAACCTGCAGAATTTATGGTTATGTATTGGCTGGAATTACTAATTGGTTTCCATCTTTTTCCACCAAGCATAACTGCACCCGGAATATTATTCAGCTTCAAGTGTGAATGTTCTCTTCACAAATGGTCCAATGATGTCCTGTTGAGCATCAAACTATTTTACTATTTCAAATTTCTAATCAAAAAAAGATTGAAGTAAAAGGAGGGCATGTCCGTTGTGTTGCAATGCCTTCCATTAGGCAACGGGCATTATGTCCTATAATTTGCAGCATGCCTTTTCGTTGGATTTTCTATTGACTCCTAGAGTAAGGATTCCTATTAGATGTTTTTCGGCAATTGTTCTATATATTTTACATTTTCCGCAAGTTTGTCAGTGCTCCTCTGTACATTGGTCTTACTATCAATCTCTTTCTCTGATGCTGAAAATGTTGGGCCGTTAGGTCATTTGAACAGTGAATACTTGACGCGGGTCGTTTATTGGAGGTATGGGCAATATAAGAACCTTGGTCTGGGGAAAACTCATAACATAAGGAAATTTGTTTGGGCTGATACAAGTATTCGATTCTGATTGGATAAAATCGCCCCGTGTTTAACATCAAAAATTCATATAAAATATAACCCAAGAAGTGAAATTGCACTTGCAAGTGGTCTCGCATCGGGTGATGAAATTTTAAGTCAACGCGTCTTGATCAAAGAACCTCCAGATTGCTAAGACTTACTATTAACAGGTGTTGTGTTTAACTCCGGTCGATGTTACTGTCAAAGGCATGAATAGGTATGAATGGACCTGTGTTGACCAAGGGCGACTACCCAAATAGATTTGTCCAAACAAGTTTTAAACACAGCAGATATTTTCTGAGAGAATTTTAAAAAGAATTGATATTATTATTTGTGTTGACGGCACCATTTCCCGAATTAAGGGAAAGATCAACAACCGAATTTTAATCCGAAATGTTGGAATCCATTCAGACAGTAGAGGTTATCAACTGTATAAATATTTGGGGTCGCCTGGCTTTTGAACTATAATAGCAGATTGTGTGCTGGAAAGGGTCGCCAATAAAGTCCCGGTTCCATTTTAGTTGTGGTTGTCTATCAAAAATACTCTATACCTCTGTAGAGAGCAAAGATTTACCACAGCGTCTGAAATTGAAGGCACAACCTTCAAAATGTGCCCATCGGTGAGAGGTACAACAGTTCCCGTCGTGTTAAAAATTTTTATTCGCAGCACCATCTTCCAAGATACAAAATTAGACGTCTCTCCATAATATTTTGAGGAGACTAAAAAACTGAAAAGAAAAATAAGAATGAAAAGAATAAAATGTATTTATTTGACATTCAAACGGATAAATAGCCTGACAAGATACTATAAATCGCGCTTTTTCAATAATGCATAGGATAAATAGATAAGATCCAAGAGATGACTAATGAAAATCGTACCGAATACACTTGATAAATCAAATTTCATATTCCTCATGTTCGTCCTATATTTGTACAGCAGAAAAGTCTTAAGTGAAAGAGCTCTTTATTAAGATTCATCAATAGACTCAAGTGGAAAGAAATCTTAACACAAGTTTTGCGTTTGGCCAACTCAATTTTCCAGCCAAGCATCCAAAAATCAACTTGTTCAATTAACCCAACAGTGCGAATGCCCCGATCTTTTACAAAAAATCCCCAGAAAAAGTACAGAAAAGAGAAGAAACGCCAACTAACTCACGAAAAGCCAATAGGAACTATTACAAATCAGAAAAGATAAGTAGAAAAACTCCATTGTAATCTGAATAGACAAGCCCTAAAGATTAGGATATCAACAAAAACAAATACTGTGGAAATCAAAGAAAACAGATATATACGGTAATTAGAAAAGGAATAATTCTATTCTTGAGAGACATCTATCAATTTTGGTTTAATAGTCTTTGCTGTACTCGTTTGCACAATCATAGAAACAATGACTATTGCCAAAAACAGCTTAAAAATTGCTGTTACAAATGTGTTTAAATGCCAGATGTAAGGAAAAATTGAAAATTCCTGATCTGCCAGAATGAAATTTTACAGGACCAATATCAGAACTTTAATTGCTGCTATTAAAGCGATTGAGGTTAGAAAGTAGAAATAGGAGGTAATCAATTATTCCAAAGTTTTAATGAATTCTATTTGTAGTAAGCGTACCATTAGTTTTTTTGATTAGTTGTATTGTCAAGGCAAAAATTTGTTCTTCTAAGCTTCTTTGCGTTACTAAAGATGAAGAAAGTACCATTCCATTGTCAAAAAGCATTTTGTTGAGAATATTCTTCTGCATTCACTTTCCTCTTTTAAAGAAAGCTGTAAATAGGTACCATTCTCTCGTATAATCTTTCCAAAACTTGCATTTTTTTCCAACAATACCTAACCATGATCTGTGAAGTCCTTAGCTTCAAAGAACCAGTGACTGGCCAACAATAACTATCTACGGGCCCCGAATAGAGTTTTTCTCCTTTTCTAAAGTATTTAACAAACATGAGAAGCACACTTTTTCAAACTTCATCCAGTAAATAGGAAGCTAGTATATGGTTTTTGAACCTGACCAGCAATTTCTATAAATGATTTCCCTTATTTGATGAATCCTTGGAGGGTCTAGTCCGGTTGGTAGGTTCATCAAGAATGAGGATTTCGGGGTCCCATCAATAGGGCTAGAGCGATGGCCCAAACGATGTTTCATCGCTAAAGAATACCAGGGCCATTGCCTTTGCCTGGATCCTAGTCTGGAGGGGAGGTTTACAACCTCTATAGACCCATATTGACATGATCTTGCTATAGTCTAGTAGCTCCACTTGACCTAAAAGTGGAATCACTGAGCTAACGATGTCGATCAGTGTTCCGATTTTGGAACGTGTAAAATAGCATGGGTTTGAGAGCTGTTTGAGTGTTTGAGAGCTGTTTGAGTCGAGTCAGCCAAGCAGGAAGCCCTGCCCATCACGCACATGCCACTTGCCCACTTGCCACACCGTCAGCAGCCACAAGCCGTTGATATAGTACTGTATCGTACTACTAGTATCGTACTACCAGTAGCAACTCGGAGAAGTTGCAGTTCCTAGCTAGCTGGCTATCGGTAGACTATCTACTTTGTGTAGCCAGCGATCGCACGCGCATCCCCTCTTGACAGGCTCAACACTGCGAGGTTGGATGCAACATGTAGCTGCGACTGAATCGTGAAGCTTTCATCTCAAGATCAAACCTTGTTCGCACCGCACCAGTTCGACCACGATCGAATCTCTTGGATGCAAACGAAAATGTTGCAGCCGTACTTTCTTACGCCTTTGCTGCTTCCATTGACTTCGCTTTTGGCCGTGCTCCATGCTCATGATATGCTCATATCGCTTCAATGTGTACCGGTACCTAAGAAGAGATCTCTCTAGAATTAGACAGGGACGACCCAGCACTTGACTGGGGTGTTGAGACTTGAGAGACGGATTGAATTAGGCTTCTCACAGCTCCACTGGTGGTCGGGGGCAATGCAGTAAAGGTTAGTTGTTTCCCAGTTTACCTTTCCTGGTTTGGTGGCTTTGGAGAGTACGGCAGCACTCACTAGCTAGTTCCGAGTGAGGGTCGCTTCACCTCTTGTCTGGGATCTCTTTTCCAATGGTATTTGTTGGCTGCTGGGTGGCTGGTCCTCACGGCTCACGGCTCATGGCTACTAACCAGCCCAATACCGGTGACAATCCGAGTTAAGTTGGTCCTGCAAGCTAGCTAGTAGGTAGATCCAGAGATCCAGACTAGATCTACTGTCCTGGCCTAACTGGTTGGATGTCGCTTGTTGTCGTTTGGTGTTCCCCCCTATTTTGGAGGTCGCGCAGTGTGTTTTCTCACGGTTACAATCAAATTGCTGCTTCCGATGTTCCCATGTCGAGGTGGAGTGACGAGCGACAGTGAGTCGAGTAAGTCAAGTCATGCTGTGTCTAGAATCTTGCGCGCAGGACAGTCGAGTCACAGATGAGTCAAAAGCTGGCTGAGCTGTTAATACCGTTCGCAGTATAGGGTGCGATTCGATTCCATTACATATTCTAGCTACTGGTACCGGTGCCGTACCACGTTTAGTAGGTATGATGTAGGTCAGCGTTGTTTTGGTCAAGACCTTGCAACATATGTTTCCTTCTTCTTGTCATCTAACGGAAGTAACCTCCCTGTTGGTGCAGCCGATTAGGGCGGTTTTTCATGACCGGTAACAAAAGCTGAAGGTTCGATTCAAGAGGACGTACGGTACCCTGGAAGAGTTGAGTCGGCCAGGAGCGACACTCCTACGTACAGCAACCCGACTATTTCTACAACAATCGTACGTTATTTTGGCTCACGTCGCCTTAGCTACTAGTATCAGGTCACACTCATACTTTGACAAAAAATGTAACACACAAACTTCTGAAACAGCAGGAGTTCAACAAAGAAAAAGTTGGTATCCGTATCCAAGACGATCAAGTCAAAACTATCCGTATCATGTCGACCAACAATGCGAAGAAGCATGTAGTCAAAGTGGATTGTCGTTGATATCTCATTCTTGTTGCATGTCGCCTGTGCCGATGGTTGACGCCTTCAGAGTTTGTTCAACTGCATTCTTTTTATGTGTTGTTCGTTCCACGACCTTGTTGCCTCCAGGAAAGCTTGTGGTTTTCTCAATCACAACGTCTCCGCTTGCATTTGTTGTTTCTGTAATTTCGACTTCAACAACTTCGTCTTCCTCTGCTGTTGCGGGAATGGAGCTGTAATTAGAAGCAGATTTGATAGTGGGGCAGCAACAGCAGTTGGCCCTGGGAACTTCCTCGTTGACTGGCTTGCTGCCAAAGGAAAACCCAGCAGCTCCCCACCAGACAAACGCCGACACAATGGCAGTAATGGCTGCAGACCCCATTTTGCATCCATTCTCACAAACTTTGGAGGCGAAGAAGACCAGTGTCAGGATCATAAACGCACCACATGTTCCAAATATGAGTGTCATGGTTGTCCAAAAGCGATTGCCAGAGGCAATGCAAGTGGAACACCAAACACAAACCAACCCGATAATCCCGATAATCAATGCCAAGGAGCCAAAGGCATTGGCTGCATTGTATGCCGAGCCAAAAATATCCCTTTGGTTTCGCCAAAACCCTGAAATGACGCCGTTGAATTCGTAGGCAAAGCAGGAGTCGTAGCTGGAGATTCGTTCTGCTTCCTCGGCCGACAAAAAGAGTTTTGGGACGAGCCAATTGTTGGTATCTGTTGACTCATAGGAAGTCAATCCGAGATCTGTGTCGATAAAGACGCAGGTTTCGGTTGGTTCGGGCTCTGTGAATTGGGGTGGTGCTGTGATTCTCTGACTGGACTGCAGTTCGCGCCCTAGAGAGCGCCGAGTAACATTGCAGGGTGGTTCATGATCAACGATCAATAAGACTTCGCAAGCCCGGACAATCTTAGACAGCAACCCTGATCGTCTCCTGGACCGAGCCGCCACAGTCTGAAAGAACGGTCCTGACATTTGTTCATCGCAGAGCAGGCAATTAGCAATCTTACACTCGGGCGGGGGTCCATTGTTGCTTCCATCTCCCAGGAATGTGAAATCGACACAAACATCAAAGCATGTATCACGTGTGTTCTCTACATTGTACATCCACATTTCAGCACAGCTGTAGGTGTACCCAACTTCCTGAAAACATTCTATTCCTTGCGCGAAACTCCCACCAAAGTTCGGGAGTCCACGGATGGCGCATTCCTGCCCTTTCCCGGTCAGATCAGGGTATTCTGTGATCGTCCATAGACAAGCAGGGAATGGTTAGAGGGTAGCAATGGCGCAGAACTCTATCTTTTCAGGGAAGATTTTCAAAATTCGTACCTAGATAAACTGCCAAGTCCTTGCTGGTACTGCAGGCGCCACACTTAATCAACACAGAAAATGGGATGTAGGATTGTTTGTTGGAATCGAATCATCGTACCACATGATCAGAGTACAGCTTCAACCTTACCGCTCCCCAGTGAGTCATGACGGCCCCGGCTGCCTCCATGGCTTCTTTGCTATCGTACGTGACCATTTCATACTGTGTCGGACACTGATTCTCATCCAATGCGCTCATGTCGTAGAGGTGGCCGCAAACAGCCGTCTCCCACAGCTCAATTTGGCGCTCCACCAGAGGAGGATCTGTGCAGTTCAAGTATTCTGTCGTGTTGTATGGGTTGCATTTCATCTCGTAGGGGTTTGTTGTTTCCATGGCTTTGAGTTGTTTCAACCAATCATCAGGGACTTGCGTCAATGGAACCTCGCCTGGACCATTAGGACAAGGTTTATCAAGATTGATGCAATGACAATCGCCACAAGATCCAAATTTGGGATCTGGGGTCGGTGGTGGATGGCAGTATAGGTAGTCTGGGGTGAGAAAGTGGCAGTTTGTCACCGAGACGAAACTGAGAAGCCATGCCAAAGTTGCCAGTGTTGCTGCCAAAACTGAATTGTATCCATGCGGCATGGAACTGTTTTGGGAAGGAAGTGTAAGAAAGATTCGAGGTGGTCCAGGAACAGTCAAAAGAAAATGGAGACAGCGATACCGAAGATGCACGATGAGAACCCGATCATCCTCAAACAAAAGCTTACCAGCAGGGACGGCATCCTGAATCGGACATATCTTTCGCGTTCTCGTCTCTGAAGGATTTCATCATCGCAGATGCCATTGTCAAAGCAGCTGAAGCTTAGTTTGTTGGTTAGGTATCTTCTCTCTTCGTTGTCGCGAGCGTTCTGATATCTCTTCTGCAAAAGAAGTGAGAAACACAACTCCACTCCAGTTGTTTGTGATTTGGGCTGGATCAGGTACCGGTACATACTGTATGATACGTGTAGTTGTTGGCACCGGCTGAAGCCGCGGGGTCATTAATTAATTAATGAGGCCAAGTGTCATTCCTGCGTGATTTGGAATTCGGGTAGATCTGGTAACTTAGGAGGTAATTTCTTGTAAGCATCAAATAATAAATTTTGACGTTAACCCTATATTTACCTGATCTATCTACCAAAGCTGTCTTCCAGAAGCAGGGTGTGAGGACAGAAAGAGGCCCGCGTGCCGGTAGACTGAGACAAAAGAGAAGTCGGTACAGTACCATGACACGAGCGCTGCCAATGATTGCCTCTCAGGTACAAGCTAGGTTGATTGCTGATTTTAGCGGCCCGCAACACATCGTCGCACACGCAAGGATGGGAAGAACTCGCGACAGATAGCTAGCTCCCTACCGTAGCTTTCGTCAGGCTTTGGCATCCCAGCAAAAGACCAAAGAAGATACAAGATACATGCATGCACCATAGAAGAGAACATGCTAGATATTTTACAGCTGCAAGATGCTACTCAGCCAGAAGATCAGTTCCTACGGAGGCTGTGTTCCTGCATTCACCAAGTCAGCAAACAACCCAGGATTGTCACCCTTTGTGAGTTCATCGTAGGTTCCGTTTTCAATAATCACTCCTTGGTCAAGAACCAGAATCTGGTCAGCGTTGACAGCCGTAGACGGATGATGCGTAACACTGATGATTGTCAACCCCTCATCACGGAGCTTCTCAATGGTCTCAATGAATTTTTGTTCGGTCACAGTATCAAGGGCACTGGTGGCTTCATCCAGAAGCAGGATCTTTGGCTTTCGAGCCAGGGCCCGAGCGATGCCACAAATGCGCTGCAATTGACCTCCAGACATGCTGATTGATGCCTCCTTTCCGATGATGGTATCATATTGCTGCGGGAGTTTTTGAATCACATCATGGATCCCAGCTTTCTTTGCTGAATCAACAATAACATCAAATGTAGCATGGTCACTGCCAAAGGCTATATTGTCACGGATACTCCCATCAAACACAAAGGTCTGCTGAAAAACAGTGCCCAATGATTCTCGCAAAGTGCGAAGCGGCACAGATCCAATGGAGATGCCATCCATGCGGATGTTCCCATCAGCGGCATTGTGTGTCCCCATCAATAAGGACAACAGTGTGCTCTTGCCGCTTTTTTAAAACACAAGTTGGGCAGCATAAAGGGTTAGGAACCAGTGCAAACGTCCAGTAAGCAATGAACGAACAATGGTGCATACCTGCCGGAAGTGCCAAGGACAGCCACATAAGAACCAGCAGAAATCGCAGTGGACAAGCCCTTGAGGATCAAGGGACCATCAGCAGAATAGGAGAACTTGACACCGTCAAAGACAAGCTTGTCTTGGAGTGATAGTGTTGGTTTGGCACTATCAGAGTTGTCACCGGCAAGCTCATCTTCTTTAACGGTATCATCCTCAGCATCGGTCAAGATCTTTGCTATTTGGAGCACTGCTCCTGATGTCTGGGCTACCTGACCTGAGAATCGTCCAATTCTCTCCAGCGGCGCTATCACACCAGCAATGAGAGAGGTCACACTGAAGAACTCTCCAGAATCAATCCGGCCAGAAGCAAGAGCTCCAAGAAACAACACATTGGTCACCAAAGCCAACATAGCACCAACTGAACCATACATTGCTGAAACAATGTAGCTCCAAAACCAAGCATTGTATCTGTTGCTTCTAGCTTCCTTGAGGGCTGGCGAATGAACCTTATCGGACACAAACTTTGTTGCGTTTCCAACTTTTGCAGCCCTTTGGATTGCCACAGCATTCTGAAACCGTCCCAGCAAGCGAGAATCAGATTCCGTTGAAAGCTCACTGGCTACAAGTGCCTTTCCCTCCAATGGCTTTAGGGCTGCCAGGATTGGCAGGGCTGATAGCACAAACACCATAAATCCAAAGTTAACAAGGCCCAAGAAGAGCAGCGCGGCAAAGAGAGAGGCGGTTGCAAGGAGCATGTCAAGGACCAGAAAGTCCCATACCTGGCCTAGTTTTGCGATGCCAGAGTTGAACTGGTTCGATAATGCCCCTGGCCGATAGTTCTTTTCAAAGGTAGCGCCACTGAAGAGGACAGCATGTACCATTTTGCTCTGAAGGCGAGCAGTGGCTGCAGCAATCATTCGAGCTGCCAATAAGGATGCTGAATAATAGAGACATTCATCAAGCAAGAAGAGGGCCAGGACTGCTGCAAGGCCTAGGTTGAAACCCGCTTGTTTTTCTTCATTGCCCTCAGCAAGCTCGATACCGAGATTGACAAGTATGCCCACAATGAAACTTACTGCACGAGGAATCATGGCACTGCAACAGATAATGACAAACACACCGGCAAACATGAACTCCTGCTGCTTTCTCAACATGTTGGCAGCCAGGAATACTGTTGCGAAAATAGATCCACCACTTTCCTCTGAATCCATGATTGCTTCTTCCTCGCTGGCAGCGCATGTCTGGATAATATTCCTGTAAAGCAAATCCTTACGAAGCTGAAGAATGATGTCAAGTTCACGGTTGGCATTTCTTTGTTCAGTTTGTTCAGTGGCCAGCATGCGCTTCCAATACAGAAATATTGGCCTGCAGCTGTGTTCAAATCTGGTGTAATCAGTTTCATTCATCAATCCGTTCTGATCAGTACCAGTGGCATCTAGAAGGCATGTGAGTGTTGTCTTGTACTTTGACGGAATGGACGCCTTCTCAATGACTCCTACTACCTTGGCAACAGAGACCAAGAGGGCGCGTTGATGGTCGGCAAAGATTTCATCCACAGCCAAATTGAACGCTAGGTTGGTGTTGAGTCGAATCGCAATCAAGAATGCATTCTGTCCTAGGCTTCGAAATCCTCCATCCTCAAATCCACGATGAACGTTGAAACTGGTCACCCCCAACGAGACTATCCACATGGCACAATCAAGCAGGATACACCAGAAAGCACTGCAGTCAACCCGCAAATTTGGAAGTCCCAAGATCAGAGTTACTACTCCTCGGAGACCCGAGAAAAGCACCAGTAACAATAAGGCTGACTTTCCTCCACCTTTCAGAAAAGATTCGTCGCTGACCTGGTCTTCATCTGTGTTAGATGCCTGATCAATCGAAAATACAACCAGCTGCATGAGCAAACTGGCAGCAATCAAAGCTGTGTTTACAAGCTTTACCCATGTTTGTTGGGTATACTTAATATATCTTGCAAAAGGTCGGAAAGTGCATGTCTTGGATGGCTCCGACGAATATTTCAGGTACTCGGCCTTGAACAACTTCTTGAGCGTTTCGGTTTCGTCTTCCTCAGGAGCACTGTTTTCTGTTGTTTTTGTTGACTCCGGTATGGGAGGTTCCTCTTTATCATGACCATGATGGGTAGTTGACTCGGTTGTATCTTTCGTGAAAGCAGTGGCGGCAGGTGCAGTATTTTCATGTCCATAGGTATCGCTTGGGGTTGCACCCATCATTGTGGCCTCGATCATGTCAACATCAACTTCTTCATAGTCGCCCACCAGGAACTGAGACTCATCTGCTGCACCAGTCAAGAGTTCCTGAACAACCTGTTCCAAGTTGGCAATCCCAGGAGCATTGGATGGCCTGGAGGGCCGACGAATGCTCCCGTGTACATTTGCAAGTGAAATCCTTTCTGGCATGGTTCGAAGATTGGAATTGTTAGAATTTGGTTGCTGCTGGCTGAGGAGCTTGGCATGATTTTATGCGCTCTACTGGTACCGTACATCCGCCCTGGCTGGTATCTTCTGGACATTCATTTCTCATTAACCGTTCGGGTGATTGCTGTGCGGTTTGGACGCTGCCAAAGAATTGACCTTCACGTGCCAAATGCGGTGAGTTGGCTTGGCAGCGCTTTTTTGACATTCGAGAAGCATTGGAAGATCCAGTCAGTTCAGCCAAGAGAAGGAGCCACGAAGGATTTAACCATTTGAAGATCCAGCTGCAGGTCAATGTCCAGGAGAAGATCGAGATTTAACCCTTTGGATAGGCAATAGGCACCAGAAAGGAGGAGCACACATTTAATAAACATCTGTTATAGTACCGTACCGGTATGCATAGTACAGGCAGCTTCGCTTCTATTGATTCAAACGCGAGCCGAGCTTCTTCGTACATTTCTACACGAGCACTCGTAGAAGTGTACCAGAAAAGTCGGCACGCGTTTGAATCAGAAAAATCGAAGCTGCTCGTACCGGTGTACCAGTACACCAGTACACGCCTTGTTGTCCCTTGAAGCGGGAAGATTTAAGCTACCAGAATGATCAACCTTCAATCTTCAAGCAGCTCTTCAAGCTTCAAGCCTTTGTGTGCGTGGGGAATATTGATAGGTCAATTATTTTGTTCCTTTTTTATGTTTCATTCATTTCAAATAATTGAGTCTTTGCATGGCATAGCATGGCATGGCATGGCATATATATATTATAAATGTATTTTGTTTTATAAACTTTTTTAAATAATATGGTTTCATTTCAAATTGATTCTACTAACATGGCGCGTTGTGACGCGCGTTGTGACACGAGTCGACTCGCGTCAGAACGCGTGCCACTTTTTGGGACTCGACTCAATTTGAAATGAAACCATATTTTTAAAAAAATCAAAACAAAACTGTTTTATTTTTTGCTCTGATTGTCAAGAACCCATCCAGGTGGCGCACCACCCGGATGGCACTCTTGCTGCATCTACCTATCCATGTCCTCGTCTATCTAGCCAGATATTGCTACTGTAAGAATGCCGAATCAACGCCGCCACTTCCTATGCAATCGTTCAAAGATTCCTTCAACTCTACGAGCAGCGTCACGTGCTCTCGCTCCTTGAGAAGGCACTTAGTTTCGTCTCCAATAGCGTACATGTACTCGACTCCTTCTACAGAATCGCTACAGGTGTAGCTAAAACTAGTTCAGTCTAACCACATACAATGGGGTTCGTTTCGGTTTCAACCGTAGTACTAGAACCACATCCCCACCACTGCAGCAAACATGCATTCGTTACGCTCGGTCTGCTTCAAAAGTTGACTACGGTAGCACGAGGATTAGCGTATGATGTCGTGTTGATCCTGCCCCTTGTCTCGTCATTGGCCAGTGGCACTTCCAGCAATCCTACAATAAACCTCTCGGCGGCCACCTCGAATAGCGCCCCCGCAACCGCATCGACTCCTTGTCACTAGCTAGCAGTTCGCTTCGCCATGGTGATGACATATCTATGTAGTCTTGTGCGCGATTGTTTGACTAGCTGTTGGTCTAGCCTCAAGAACTACCTGCTTGCTGCACTGTCATGACCTGATGCCGGTCTCCTTGTTCAAAGTAGAGCGCCACTAGGACAATGAGCGTATTGATATGTGCCAGCAGTGGATCATTTGTCGTTGTTGACATCGTCATGCTGGCCCTCCGATGGGTCAACGTCTTGAGCAAGCTGTAGAGAACGGCCGCTTCATTGCGATGAATGGGTTTTTCCAAACATGCCAAGAGGGCATACAACCATAGTGACCGCTTGGACGAAATGCGGTAATCTTCGTGACAAATGTAATGAGCGAGATGAGCAATGACTCGTCGTACCAAGACTTGGTCCAGTTGCAGCAAGAGACTTGTCGTGGCTTCGTATCCGCCGGGAGGTAGATTGTGTCGCCAGGGTTCTTCAACGGTTGTGGTTTGGTCTTCTTTGATGTCGTCGTCTTGTGTCGTTTTCGGAGGATCCTGTGCTATCGAACTTTCCTTGGCTTTGGCTGGCTCATCCTTACGAGTAGTTTCCTCGTTGGTACTGATTTTTGTTTCCAGATTCTCCAGTTTTTGTGGCTGTGCTTTCGGTGGATTTTCATCCGCCTTGTTGTTGTCATCCTCGCAATAATAGTCACCTACATTGCCTCTGGCCTCTGTTTCGCCAAGGCAAAAAATGTGCCATGCAGGACGATCGCTCATGGGTGGCACTGGCTGCTTGCGATTTGGTTTTGGTTGTTTCATGGAAGTCAGGTAAGTCCTGAGTTGCGTGAAATTGGCCAGGGTCTGTTGGATCCATGTCTCGGTCTGTGGAGGAAGATGCCGTGCCGATGGAGGAGGGACCAAGACCGTTCGATCCGAGATCAAATAGAGCACGGAAGCTGCCGATCCATCAATGGGAACATCCAGACAGCGCTGTTTCTTCTTCTTCTTCTTGGTTTGTTGTTGTTGCTGTGTCACCAGGACGTCTGGCAATTGCTTCGATTGTTGGATCACGCGACTCAAATACTCGGAGGCGTCCATCGTGGCGATATCACCAAAATCATCATTGCTACTAGTAGTTTTGGTCCCTTGTCTCTTGCGACGCCTTGGCACAGGTAAACAGGGTCTGTTTGACATTGTTACTGTTTGCTCTTGGCTTGGCTTCCTTCCTCTGGGGTGGTAATGGCGATCTGTCCTGGCTGGAGTGGTCTATCCACTTGCTCTCTTCGTCCGAGGTGTGATGGTACCAAAACACCTGTTGAAAAGGTGTGAACTTGAACGCACAATTTCTCTAATTTAATCAATATCCTTCCAGCTCTACTGTCTAGCTAGTAGACTGGCTATTCGTTTCGTTTTCTCTTTCTCTCTCGTTCAGATTGTGAGCTCTACAACTGAGCTCCGATATGCATACATATACCAGGATCTTTCGATCCTCTGCTTCTCGCAGTTTCATTTGCAGATAGATCTCGTCGATCTATCTTCCTGAAGTGCATGGTTGGCCCTGGAGGGCTTTCCCACTTTACTAAACCTATGGACGTTCATCCGTCCATTCATTTGCTCCGTCCCATCGCTCCTTGCATTCGTCTCTTCGACCTAACTTCCTAACCTCAGTTCACAAAGATGACGATATCAAGGAAGTGGTTCAAGGGATTAAAGATCGAGGGCTTGAACATGACCATAAGTACGAACTCACGGACTTCCTGAGCTGTGAGATTCGAAGGATGCTGCATGGGTGGGACAACCACATGATCAAGAAGATTCAAACGCACATTCCGAGAGGAGGTCAGAAGCTACCCAAGTACAGACTGCGGAACACCTGGACTCGGAATGTGAAGACAGACGAACAGAGCGAATGGATCGCTGAAGAACAACAGAGCAAATATCGAACAGGAGTAGGTATGCTCATGTAACTTATCAAGCATTCAAGGCAGAAATCTCAACGCGGTACAAGAACTAGCTAAGGTCTTGGGATGTGCAACGCCAGCAGCGTACAAGAAAATGCTACGCTGTGTAAAATACGTGTTGGACTAAGGAACCTGGACTTTTGATGAGACAGAGAAGAACGAAGGACCGTGAAATTGGAAGTATTCTCGGATCGGATGGGCCGAGACAAGAACAACAGAAAATCAGTCACGTCCATGATGATCTTCTCGAAGGTGTACTCATTCACTGGAGGTCCAAACTACAGAATGTGTAGCATTGTCGAGTCCGAAGCTGAGTTCTACGGTGTGGCGAAGCAGTGCGAGAATTCCGTTCATCGCGCAGATTCTGAAGTTCCTACAGATCAACTGTGGAACTACCTGTGCAAGTGAAGATCGATAACGTGGTGCTATCTTTATGTCAGAGAAAAGACAAGTGCAAGTCGAAAAAGGCCATAGATACGAGGTGGCACTACGTGAACAAATGCAAGGACGGCCTAGGAAGATTGATTCGTTTGCGCTCGGAAGAAAACGTGAGCGACATTGGAACCAAGAATGTCAACGTCGAGACCCTCGACAGACATACCGAAACTGACAGGAGACAAGGAGCAATTGGTTTGAGTTGGTAGAAGGTCGCTGCCATCATGCGAAAACAGGAAGGTGTTAGAAAGGTATTTTCGTATGCGGACAGACGACTCGGGATCCCAGTCACGGTTCTTGATATGGATGTGTGACTAAATCAGATGGTTATCCGAACATCATCAGATTGCCAGGGTACGAGGAACGAAGACAATGGTCGCTAGATGATGCAACTACAAAGGA